GAAGAAAGCATTTCGAAGGGAACAAGGGATTACCTCAATTCTTTTCTTTTCGACTTTACGAGGAAGATTCTTCCACACTGTTTCTCGTAAGGGACATTCTTCCGATGAAATATTCTCATTCAGGTAGCTCCATTCTTCTTTGAGAAATCTGCAAAAAAATATGTGAGCTACAAATAGAATGAAAATAAACGCCACATGCCTTTCCTGCATATACTTGAGATAAAATACCACATATATAAATACTATCATGAATGTCTTCACACCTAGACAAGTGCATTGGTAACATCAACAAATAATAGGGCATTAGGCCAGTCTCGGTGGGAGTTTCATGGCTCTGTTTCCAAGACTTCCTTGTTGCAAACAGTGTAAACAAGTTTCATCCCCATGAAACTCGTTTCATCCCATGAAACTATTTTCATCTCTCTTCAATTAAACTATGCCACATCAGCTTATTTGATGCCTATGAAACTGCCATGAAATCACCATTGAGACTGACCTTAGGGCCCATACACTGGAAGTTAATAATCCAAAAACACCGCTAAAATCATCATATTCCTGTGCTAAAATCATCATAAATAAAGGCAAAATGAGTACAAAAAAGTCAAATACAGCATGACAAAGCTTTCAAGATTGCTTACCTGCTAACAACATTGAATATCCATCTACTACTATGAAAGTTCAGTGAATCCAAATGAAGTATGATGGGGCCTATTTGATCTTCTTTTGCTGGCATGCATATTATGATGAGGCTCCAATGTGTTCTAACCAATTGAAACAATAAGAGCACAAAGTTCAGCTTTTTTAACAAAATATTAGAAGTAACATGTTACTATCGTACAGGTATGTAATCAGTGAACAGTGCTTAGATCATGCACCAATTAAATTTTAGACAATGTTTTTTTTCTCAATTATGAAGGTTGTAATCAACAATGTTTTTTTTGTAAAATCAAATGAATACATATACATTAATAAACCGGCAAAATAACTTCTTGACAATGAGTCCACTAATCTAGAGGCGAGTGTTAGGTTACTTTATTTAGTTTTCCTGTAAGCGAAATCACAGTAAATATTGGTTTAGCATGACACAAACCACATTATTCAACAAAGCGCATCATTTTTCTAAACAATCATAAATTATACAAGGTCTTGGTGCCGTGGTCGCTACTAGGCCCCCTGTGCAGTAGTTGGGAATTGGTCCAGCTGGTCGTAACATATCTGTCTTTGGTGCAAATGTAAAAGTATAGCCCTGTGATCACGGGTAAGTGGTGTAGGCGTGTGTGTGTGCATGCTTGTACGCTGTGTATGGCTATTTTGGCCTAACTCTTCTTCTCTTAATGGAATGCATTGCAGTCCTCCTGCATATTCGAGAAAAAAAATCATAAATTATACTAGCTCTCATCCCAAATATAATTCCATTTGGACCTATCACATGAATTAAAGTAGGTGGTGCAAAGACCATATTGCCCCTAGATTATTGTCATATCAAGGTGATCCTTGTATATTCCATCAACCAGATGCATTTATATAGGTGAAAAAGAGGAAAATAGAGATAAAAGAGGTGCATTGGAGTTGTTGATAAACTTATATTTGGTCAACCGTGAGGAGAACTAAATGGATCTATATTTGGAACCACAGGGAGTATATATTATTTTAATTATCTGCATAGTCAGTTAGTCAACATAAAGCATGTAGAATGAAATACTCTTCTTTCTTCACTTTTTTTTCTCGAAAACGCAGGAGAACTGTGCTTCATTATATTAAGAAGAAAAAAGGGGAGAGACCCCAATTACAACACACACCACACCACTCCAAAATAAAAGTACATACACGCCTGTGACAACAAAGAAGCGACCAAGACTAGATGTCCTCCAGGCTACAGAGCTACAGGGGGAGGGGGAGGCTGGGAAGCCAAGAAAGATAGCCCCCGAGCCCCCGCCACAGCCCAAAGCCGACTCTCCTCTAAAGCAAAACCCAAAGCACCACCCAAGCTAGGAGTAGCTCCGTCAAAAACACATCTATTTCGGTGATTCCACAAGGTCCAAGCTCCTAAGATCACAAGAGAGTTGAATCCTTTCCTTGTTAACCCAACAGTAGCATTGCTTGAATTTTCCCACCACACATCAAAAGACAAATCTGAAGGTTGTGGACAGAATTGTTGGATCCCAAAGTGCTGGAGCAAATAGAACTAAAATTGTCGAACGAAGACACAAGAAACCAGCAGATGGTTAACGGTTTCCTCCTCTTGATCACACAGGGGGCACTGTGCAGGATGTGGCAGCCCCCGCCTTGCAAGCCGATTAGCCGTCCAACACCTGTCATGTGCGACCAGCCACATGAAGAAACGACACTTGGGTGGAGCCCAAGATTTCCAGATTCTCTCATATGGGCCAAAAAGAGTGGATCCTATGAAAAAACCCTCATATGCTGACTTGGCCGAATACTGACCACTAGAAGAAAGGCGCCAAATGTGAGCGTCTTCAACCTCCGGTTGTAGCTGAAAATCATAAAGGAGATCCCAGAGACTGAAAAACTCCACCATTACTTCCACTGTCATAATACCTCGGATGTCTAGAACCCAAGCACGATCAGTAAGAGCTTCTTCAACTGTGCGTTTATTTACTATCCTTTTTGGTATTCCAACAAGAAGATGAGGGGCTAGGTCTGCAATTGATTGTCCATTCAGCCATCTATCTGCCCAGAAAAGAGTGCTTGCCCCGTTGCCAACCTCAGAGACAACCGCTAAACTTTAGAAGGCTTGGACCTGTCCAGGCACCTAGATAGGAAAGTTCGCCCAGGGCCTATGGGGTTCCGTTTTCTGAAGCCAAACCCAGCGCATCCGCAGCGCCCATCCAAGATATTTCAGGTCCGAGATCCCCAAACCACCCAGCTCCGGTGGACGGCTCACCTTGCCCCATGCCACAAGACAATGACCCCCTTTTGCTTCCTTTCTTCCCCTCCATAGGAAACCTCGTCTAAATTTGTCCACAGCTTTGATGGCCCAGGGAGGGAAGTCTATGGCCATAACAAGGTACATTAGCATAGCAGTGAGCACAAACTGTACCAACACTTTTCTTCCAGCCCTTGTCATGAGGTCCGCCTTCCATCCTGGCAGCTGATCTGCAATCTTATCAATAATAGGCTGGATCTGCCCCTTAGTGAGCTTCATAAGGGAGAGGGGTAAACCTAAATATTTGCATGGGAAATCGGACACCGCACAAGGCAACAGGTTCTGGATGGTGGTCAGCTCCATGTCACCACACCTGATGGGTAAAACACTGCTCTTTTGAAGGTTGGTTTTAAGCCCCGAAGCATCACCAAAAAGATTGAGAATTTCCATTACCAGACTGATGTCACCAGCTTCCGGCCTGAGGAACAGCACCACATCATCAGCGTAGAGAGAGATCCTGTGCTACAAAACTCGCCTAGAGAGGGGCTGCAGGAGTCCCTCATTGGCTGCCTTTGAAACCATGTGTCCTAGAACGTCCATAACCAAGATGAACATAGGTGATAGAGGGTCACCCTGACGCAAGCCCCGCTGGTGAACAATAGAGTTGCCTGGAATCCCATTCAGCAGAACCTGAGTAGAAGAAGATGCTAACAGCCCACTGACCAAGTCTCTCCAAATTGGCCCAAAACCCAAATGTTGCATCACCTCAAGGAGAAAAGGCCACGACACTGAGTCAAAAGGCCTTAGAAATGTCTAATTTGAGTAGAATTCGTGGCTGTTTTTGCTGGTGAAGGAACCTTGCTGTTTGCTGGACCAACATGAAGTTATCTTGGATAAAATGACCTTTAATGAAAGCGCTTTGGTTGGGAGACACCAATTGTCGCAGCCGGCTTGCCAGACAATTGGCCAGCAGCTTAGTGACTAGTTTAGCAAAGCTATGAACTAGGCTAATAGACCGGAAATCCTTTGGCCGTTCTGCTGAGTCCACCTTAGGGAGTAGGGTGATGAAGGCTGTGTTGAGGACCTCGAAGTTGACAAATTTTGTGCTCCAAATTGCTGAAATTGCAGCCATGATATCATCTTTTATGATTGACCAGCAGGACTTGTAGAACCTACCCGTGAAACCATCAGGTCCGGGCGCTTTATCCGGGGTTAGCTGCTTTATGGTTCTCCATACTTCTTCTGCAGTGAAAGGGAGGTCAAGTTCTGTAAGGTCGTGAGTATTCAGCCCCAATTCAGTGAGGTCCACCGTATTTTCCCTGTCCACACGTGTACCTAGCAAGCTGTTATAAAAATCATCAATAACGGAAGCTTTGTCGGCATGATTTGTGTAGATTTGATCTTCAGAAACTAGCTTCCCAATGAAGTTTTTCCTCTTCCGATGACGGGCATGCAGCTGAAAAAGTTTTGTATTGGCGTCACCATCCTTTAGCCAATTGATCCTTGAACGCAGCCAGACGATAGTGCGTTTAAGGGAAGCCAACGTGAGGCAATGCTTCTTCAGATTATTCTTCAACCAGATTTCTCCTGCAGCGAGCACACGAGCATCTTGTGCAATCTCAAGCTGGTGGAGAATTTCCCTGGCGAGGACAAGTTGGGAGTTTATATGCCCGATTTTCTTGTCACTCCAGCTTTGCAACCCTTTAGAGACTTCTTTAAATTTGCGGTCCAGAGAAATGAATGGGCATGGCCCAGCTGGTACAGAATTCCATGCCACTGAAACTGCCTCCTGGAACCCCTCAAGCTTTGGCCAAAAGGCTTCAAAGTGAAATCTTCAGCGACCAACCATGTTGTCCCGCAGACCAAGCAAGAGAGGGCAGTGATCTGAGTCATTGGAAGCCATACTCTGCAATAAGCAATTAGGGAATTTTTCCTCCCAGTCTACTGAACAAAGGACCCTATCCAGCCTGACTAGAGTAGGGGAGAGCTGCTGGTATGACCACGTAAATTTGCGACCATGCAGAGGGGTTTCCTTAAGAGCAAGATCATTTATAAAGCGTCTGAAACGACCCGTCGAGGCCCTGTTATAATTGCATTGTTTTTGTCCTCATCCTTATATATCAGATTGAAATCCCCAGCTACAACCCAAAGGCCCTGGGCAGTCGGCTCTGATATTACGAAGTTCCTGCAGAAATTGTATCTTTTCCTCATTTCCTTGTGGTCCATAAACGTATGTAAGCCACCAAGGTTGCCCCTCAGCTGAAGAGAACTGTATGGTCACGCTGTGATTATCAACACGTTGAGCGCCAGATACTCCAATATGCCGTCGCCAAGCTACCAAAATACCTCCACTAGCACCAGCCGAAGGGACTTCAATGAACTCAGAGAAATCAGAGCCAAATGCCGACAGAAGCGTCCTTCTTGTTACTGCCACCATTTTAGTCTCCTGAATGTAGACAATGTCTGGACGAGCTGAATCGACAATGGTACGAACCGAGTATTGCCTGGCTGAAGAATTAAGGCCCCTTACATTCCAGATAAGAATTTTAGCTGGATCCATTAAAGACAAACAAAAATACGACCACAAATCTCTGGAGATATTCTCTCACTAATCAGCTAAAAGCTCAAACCCCTCATTACCAGGGCCAAAATCATCAGGAAGAGACCAGTTGAATAAAGCAGTCAAGGCACGAATGTGTGAATCAGATAGGGTCTGACCGAACAGCCTTGCGTAGTCGTCCAGAGCCTGCTGATCAATGCCTTCCTGCTCGGTAAGAATGTCCACGGCTTGCATTGCCTTCTTCTTCATACTTCTCTCCAGGTCTTCAGGGCCAAATTCCACCTTCTTCCCAGCAAGCCACCGGCTCTGCCGCGAAGCTTCACCAGGCGGGCGTGACCTGCCCTTCCACTTATTAGTTCGGGGACAGAAGCGCTCAAACCGACAAAGACGCCGGCCAACTTGTTGATGAAGTCTCACCGGGTAGAAGCATGGGGCAGCCAGAATCGCCACTGGCCCAGGTCACCGGTGAGCCCACCACGCTCCCCACGCCACGCCACTGCGTGGCGGAGGAAGAGCAGAGGGGCCCCCAACCGCCGCGGAGTCACCGACGAGACTACCACGCCGCACCGGGGGAAGCTTCTCGCGCCAAAGGAGGGGACGAGGGCCGATTCTCCTCGGCAATGGGCCATCCTTCCCACGGGCGTCATCTGCAATCCCGCCATCAGGGGAGAAGCGGCACCCACCGGACTCGAGCACTTGTGCAGGCGCCGACGGAGACGTCAACCCGAGTACACTTGGAGAGGCCTTGCAGATGTGCTTTGCTGTGGAGGAGGGGTTACTAGAAGATTGAACTCCGGGATAGCAGAGGAGGGGGGATTGCACAGGCGAGCTGGGCGAGGTCGCAGAAGGAACTCCATCCGTTGCCGCATCAACAGGCAGGTTCCCGAAAGAGACCAACACCGTCGACCAGCCGGGGGGATTCCAGGCCGTAGCCTCACCCAAGCCCACATCACTTGTTGTACTGGAATCAGAGGTTACTTGAAGATCACGGTCCAGCCCACATGAAATAGGTAAATCCGCCACTGGTTCGCAAGAGGCTGTAGCCGTCACCACAGGCCCAAGATCAACCGGATGCCCTGTGATGGGCTCGGGGGACGGAAGAGGCCTAGGAACCATGTTCACATTATTCCAGGAACAGCCGCCGGCACCAACGTCAACTTCAAAGCGCATTAGCGTAGGGGAGGCCACCGAGGAAAACACCTCATCGGATCGAGGCCTCGCAGCATCGGTCGAGGACCCCTCAATAACAACAGCCGCCGTCTCCTCGGTTCCTTGCGCCACATCAATGGAAGCAGAGAGAGGCCCCACAGCATCGGTCAGGCACTCATTAACAGTATGAATGTACATGATACCTAATAAATTAAGGCTAAAACGTTTATGACTGTACTACTCTGTTTTTTATAGCGGGTGCACATGATTCGTTTGCTTGTACTGCTTTAGAGGACGTATAATGTTTTCAATGAGCAAATGGTCAAGTATATCCCTCCCTTTGCAACTTTGCAAGCAGCATGTGCTCCCGATTGTCCGCAGCGTGCATGTGGTATAAGCATGACGGTACATTTAAGTCCACGACTGATGCTCAGCTGATGCTTCTGGGCGATTGGTTCACACGCACATGCATATGTAAGGCCTAAGCAAGGGTATATCATCTAACCCCCACATCCTTGGTCTCAGAGAAAAAGGGAATGATGCCTTCCATTCTCTAACATATGAAGTATAATTAAGCTTATGATTGTCAAGGTGCCTGTGGTACAGGGGCAAAGGCCTCTGTTAGACATGTTAAGCATATGAAGGCCCATCTAATATAGGCCCATATGTCCCATGAGGCTCCTATATACAATCATCTCCACTAATGGAATTACCATTCTCTCCGATCCCCAAGATTAGTAACATGATACCAAAGCCATAGTTTAGGGTTAGGATTTGGGCATTAGGCTAATTTAATCCACCTATACGATCCATTTTTTCCTTAGGATCCAACCGGTGCGGCCCATCGACATGTCCGCCAGACGCCAGACGCACCAGTTGCTAATCCGCGCGCCGATCCCCGCGGGCCTGTCTGCACCGGACGCCATCTGCGTCAGTCGCCAGTCCGTGCGCCGATCTCAAGGGTTCCTCCCAGAACCACTTCGGCCACTCGTCATGACCCCGAGTCCGCTTGTCGGGGCCTCCCTTTCGCGAGCCGCAGATGTCCGCTTGCCCGCCGTCTTCCACGCACAGACACATCCGCCCGCCCGCCCGTCGTCTACACGCGTGGCAACAACGACAGTCCACGCGGTTCTCTTCATCTGTGCCTGTCTTCCTGTCGATGCTATCCACCGTCTCCAAGCATGGCTGCCTTGTTTTGCTTGCCTCTACTTGTCACCCATCTATTGAGGCTCCTCTGGCCCGTTCGTCTGCTTGAGAGCATCTTCATCGGCGTCTGCAGAGGTTCCACATAATCAATACTGCTGCAGTGCTGCTGTTTCTAGTTGCAGAGATCTTGGTAACTGCTTCTACCCTCACACTGTTGTTGATCAAATCCTTGTCATGTCTAACATGTTGATCAATGCAATTGTTATCAATATCACCCTAGATGGTCACAATTATGTGTTCTATGTAGAACTGCATTGAGGGGCTAAGGCCTACTTTTTCACCTAACTGATGATGCAGCTGTGTGTCGGAAGGATGGTAGTAACGCTGCTGCAGTAAAAGATTGGGAGATTAACGATGGAAAAGTGATGGCTGCCATGGTCAATAGTACTAAACAGTCCATGATTATGAGTCTCTCTAAGTTCAAAACAGCCAAAGCTATCTGGTCCAATTTTGAAGGAGCGCTATGTTCAGGATAGTGGTGCTCTTATGCATACCCTCATGCAGCAAACTTTGAGCCCTTGATAGTCTGCTCATGTTCAGGATAGTGAGGCTCAAGATAGTCCGCTCCAGCTTCATGCTTACTCGGACTCCACTTGGGCGAGTGACCCAACAGATCGTCGTTCCGTCACAGGATATTCCATTCTTCTTGGCTCTTCTCTTGCATGGATGTCCAAGAAACAAGCAGTTGTATCTCATTCTAGTACAAAGGCAGAACTTTGAGCCCTTGCTACTACTACAGAGATTGTATGGCTTCGATGGTTGTTGGCTGATTTTGGTATTTCTTGTGATGCCGCCACACCTATTCTATGAAGCATGAACTTACCAAGCATATCGGTGTCAATGCCTTCTTTACCCGGTCTCATTGTCATCAGAAAACCATTGCTCTTCAGCATGTGCCTTCTGAGTTGCAGTTGGCTGATTTCTTCATTAAAGCACAGGCACGAGAGCAGCATCAGCTTCACTTGATCAAACCCAATGCTCCTCCACTTCCTCATTGAATTTGAAGGGGGGTGTTAAGTATATGAAGGCCCATCTAATATAGACCCATATGGCCCATGAGGCTCCTATATATAGTCATCTCCACTAATTGAATTACCATTCTCTCTGATCCCCAAGGTTAGTAACAAGACAAAGTCATTGTAGGTTAGGTCTTTCTGTTGTGGTCACTTTATCGCCTGGCCAGTGGGCAGTGTGGCGCATACTCCCTCCGTCCCAAAAAGAGTGCACATCTCGCTTTTCGAGGGGTCAATCAATTTTATGTTTGACTAGATTTATATCAACATTTATTATATCTCAAAATAGGGGACGAAGGTAGTATATTCTTCCTAGTGGATGTGTGCGGGTGTGTGTTGCACTCATTTTCTTTCTTCTGTAGTCAAACGATACATGGCCAGTTCAAGGAAGTCCGGAAAGCACGGCCAAGACACCAACTAGACATAAAAGGGAATCTTCTGGAATCACTTATTATTGGCAACAATTACTTTAGCATCAACTTGGTCAACAGCTACGTAGTGGAGGTCTGATATGATCTGACAGCCATTCACCCGTGTAGAAAGGATAACACAAAAGCAGTGTCACTATTCCATATCCCAATTCCAAAGTTGTGGTTTAGTCATAGGTTTGTAAGGCTGCACAAACTCTGTGACTATGGAGTAAAAAAAAAATCACTTGAAGGTGTCATGCTTCTTGATTTAAGTACAACTAGATGTTCTTATTAGAAGGGCGGGCCTGGTGCAAGCGGTAGAGTCTTACCGCCTGTGACCGGAAGGTCCCGGGTTCGAGTCGCGGTATCCTCGCATTGCACAGGCGAGGGTAAGGCTTGCCACTGACACCCTTCCCCAGACCCCGCACAGAGTGGGAGCTCTCTGCTCTGGGTACGCCCTTAGATGTTCTTATTAATAAATTTGCAATTTACTGCAAACCAGGCAGTTTGACTATTTTGTGAGTCGTGACAGTCATATGCAGGGATGGTTGCTGTGCCAAACCAGACTGGACCAGGCACTTCCAGGTTTTGATAGTAGAACCACTTTTACAATCTGTTTTCAAAATTGTAATTGGCCAACCTAGTAAAAGAAATGCTGATCTCGACCATGTGAAGCAAAAGATATCTCAACCCCACAGCAACATCGAGCAAAATCACTTACTCTGCATGCACAGGCATCAATATATATGCCTTTCGAAATATATCTACACCCTTCCACCATCTTCTCAACTTCAAAAAATAAGTGGTCTTGTCCTCCTTCAGATTAAGAAATAAAAGAAGTCAATCAACAAATTAACACATGGATACCATGGCAAATATCATAATAAAGGCATCAAATTCCGAATTAATTATGAGGTTAAAAATGAATTATTCCGAGTAAATGATAAAAAAAAAATCCATAGTGTGGCTGGGACACCAATTATTTACCAAGATTTTAAATGTGCACCCCTCCAAAAAAAAGGAAGTGTGACTTTCCTAGGTATCAAGTATTAGAGATATGTATAGTCCAACACATGTATATCATGCGACTTATACTTCAAGATGTACTTTGACTATATATATGAAAGTTACCTCCCACATTGCGTGTGAGGTGTTCCCTACATGGTATCAAGAGTTCGGTTCCCCTTCCGGCTCCTTCCTCTACCCTAACTTTTCTCCCGCGCTGCTGACTCCACGGCCACGCAGATACCCACCTCGCGACGCCCCTGCGCATGATCTCCTTCCCCTACGGGCGATCTCCTCCGCACACACGTGTCCGTGAGCCCGACGCACCTCTCCCGCATGTTCCTGCTATGTCCACTAACTCCACGGCCTCCTCTGCCACCAGCGGCGCCTTGGGCCATCTCCCCGACAGGCCAATCGTCATCGCTACCTACACAACGATTGTTGTATGCTCTCATGTTCCTATCGTCCTCGAGCTAAAACATCCCAACTTTCATAAGTGGGCGCCCTTCTTCAAGTCCCTGCTGGGGAAGTTTGGCCTTCGCAACCACATTGACAGAACTGTACCGACCAACACCAATGATCCCCAGTGGGTCCGGTCATGGACGATTCCTACATCCACAATTGGTTTCTTGGATCCATAGCCCCCAACATCCACGACCTCGTCATGGACAGACGTTTAGCCCGGTGGTCATGTCAGCCACCATTCGTGCCATGCTTAGCATTGCTGCATCGTGGACTAGCCTATTCATCAAGTGAATAAAGCCTTTCTTCATGGCAAACCTTGTGGAGACTGTCTACTACCAGCAGTCGTCCGGCTTCGTTGACCCTTCGGCCCTTGTACGGTCTCAAGCAGGCTCGTCAGGCATGGCACCAGTGGTTTGCTTCATACATCTGCAACCACGCCTTCACGACGACAAAATCGGACATGTCTCTTTACTTATAAAGATCGAGATGATGTCGCCTACCTATTGCTCTACGTCGCCGACATCGTCTTGATGGCGTCTTCCCTAACCCTCCTGCGGCGCATCACTGACCGGCTCAGCTCCGAGTTCACCATGACAAACCTTGGTGCTATCCACCACTTACTCGGCATCTCCATCACATGCTCCTCGGACAGCCTCCTCCTATCCCAGCGATAGTACACTAACTCTTGGGACAAGCTGTCCGCGATTGACGGTGCTCCTGTCGAGAGCCCCTCAGAGTACCGAAGTCTTGCTCGCGCTCTACAATACGTCACTCTGACTCAACCAGACCTCATCTACACCATTCAGTAGGTTTGCCTCTTTATGTACGACCCGGGAGAGCCGCACCTTGCTTTGATCAAGTGCATGCTGCATGTGAAGGGCACCCTCAACTGCCTACTCTGACGTTGACTGGGTCGGCCTAGACTCCCAGCGTTCTACCTCTGGCTATTGCATCTTCCTCGATGACAACTTGGTCTCCTAGTCTTGAAGCGGCAGACTACAGTGTCCCGTTCTAATGTAGAGGCAGAGTATTGGGCTGTTGCACATGCAATTGCTGAGTGCTGCTGGCTGTGACAGTTGCTTCAGGAGCTCCACATCTT